GGTGAAGGCCTGGGGAGGGGGTGGGAGCGGGGTGGAGGGGGTCAATGGGGGGAAAAGGGGACATCTGTAATAGTTTCATCAATAAATATAAATAAAAAAATAAAAATCAGACGGTGGCTTGTATTTGACTCATGGGCAATATTTTGTTGACCCTTGCTCTTGAATGTCTATTGCTCAGTTATAGATAGGAGCCCTTACCAGATAATGATGAGAGCAGCTAATGTACCTCCTAGGTGCAATTGATAACTTGTCCCGCTTGTAGAGTATTGATACTTTATCACCCTCTACCTCACATTCTTCCTGGACATTACTGGTTTATTTCTTCTATTCCCATAAGTATAAACAGTAGCACAGTTTTGGCAATCAATAGTCAACCTTGCCAACCTTGCTTTTATTCCCTTTTTAATTTATGTTTAAGACCTACTTTTATTGACTAAGCTTTTGGCATTCATTAAAAAACTTTATTTTTCAAAAAAATCAGGTCTTGAAAATTTGAAATTAATTAGGTTTATAAATTGGTGTCTCTCATACTAAGTGCTTACAAATGCATTCAGAAACTCATGTCATTGGCTCTGTACAGTCTGAAGGAATGTCTCTGACTCAATAGCGCCTTGGGGTTAAAAAAGATAAACATGTAATAATGTAAAATTCTTATAGTTATATAATATTCTGTCATACTTCCTTTAGTTCATTCGACAGACAAGTTTAAGAATACATTGAGAATGTTAGATAGATTCGTATGATAAAATTATTCTGCAGGCAGAGTTTATGGTCTAGTAAAGAAAAGATATATTTTACCCCCAGACTTAACATGTTTTTGTGGAAATTTTAATGTTAAATGCAACCCTACCTCATATTTTCCTACAACCACCCCAGACAAGAGCAGGAGATAGAAGAGGGTAAGAAATAGAGGAAGAAAAGAGAGCTTAAGTTATTTTACTTGTAATATCATCATCAGTACATTGTTACTTAGAAAAGGAACCCTACATGCATGCAAATAAAAAATTAGTAGTGTTGCATTATGCAATCCACATATATAGTTATGTATATTTTAGGCATTTGTAATATAAAGTTGCATTTAAAGTTTGTTTACATTAGATGTTGATTTTTTTTTTTACAGAAAATACAAACTTTGGGTAGTTAATAGGAATATTTATTTATTTATTTTAAATATATCTTTATTGATTTCAGAGAGAGGAAAGGAGACGGAGAGAGAGAGAGAGAGAAACATCAATGATGAGAAAGTCATTGATCAGCTGCCTCCTGCATTCCCTCAATTGGGGATCGAGCCCACAACCCGGGCATGTGCCCTGACCGGGAGTCGAACCCCAATCGCCTGGATCCTAGGTCCATGCTCAACTGCTGAGCCACGCCCGGCCGGGCAATAGGTGTTTTTAAATGTAGACTTTGCCAAAGGTGGTTCTATGTAAATCAGTGTTGTTATTCATTGGATATGTAAAAAAACATGCAGCCCAGTCCAAAGGTATTATTTTTCATTTTGATTTTTTTGTTTGTGTATTTTTTCCTTCAAGCCCAGAAATGTATAGAAGAAATACAGCAATTTCTGAGATAATTAATATGGCAGAGGTTCATGAGTAACACTATCTTTTAATTTTTTCTTTATGAAATGGTGGGTGTATTTAATAGTATCTCTAAACTTTGATACGTTCCTTAGCTTTCTGTTTGTATGAATAAAAGCAAAAGGAATAACAGACTAATGTTTACTGAGGAAACAGCCTAAGTGTGATATAATTAGTAGAAATTATACAACTCGTAAGTAAGAGAGTGAGAACACAACTCCAAGTTGGTCAGATTAAAACCAATGCTCTTATCCATGTATTAGTTAAATTACTATGCCAACAGCTTATCTTTAGATAATTCAATAAATGTAGAGCTTTAGATAATTCATGTCAGGCAAATCACAATTTCTTGTATGTCAGGTTGTTTTCTTCCAGTAAAAGTAATTTAGAAAATTAGCTTATTTCAGTTTTTCAATGGTTATATTTATTCATCTAGTCAGCTAGTATTTATTGAGCTCTAGAGGGAAATAATGCAAATTAAAACTATTTCCATATCAAAACTTTGTTGGCCAACTTAAAGTAGTCATCATGAGAAGTTTTGTACTTTTTCTAGAGATATGTCTATTATTCAAAATATTGGTAATGACTCCCTTTCAGAATTTCTTTCACAGCTTTCCTATTAACCTTCACCAAATTGTAAATGAATATTTGCTCTTAGGGTATATATTCTAGTTTTGGAAACAACTAAACATCTAATCTTAAAGGCAAAAATATAGATTACATGGTTAAGTTAAATGATTATTTTTTTCTTTGGGTTACGCTGCACCCTGTATTATTCATTAAGATTATAAATTAAAGTATGTTGGGCTGATTCCCTGACTTCTAATGTAAAAATAACAGCAATTCCATCAAAGAATTTCATTTTTTCTAGCAACGAATGGTAGAATTCTTGGGATATCATTTTTAAAGCCTTCTGATCCAACTTTGAAGAGAAGCACTTACCTTCTAAAGGTTTAGTCACCTTTTATTTTTATTATTTATTTATTTATTTATTTTAAAGCCTAAGAACTGCTTTCTTTTTCTTTTAAAAAAATATATATTTGTATATTATTGATTTCAGAGAGAAGAAGGGAGAGGGAGAGAGAGAGTTGAAACATCAGTGATGAGAGAGTCATTGACCGGCGGCCTCCTGCGTGCCCCCTCTGGGGATCCAGCCCGCAACCCGGGCCTGTGCCCTGACCGGGAATCGAACTGCGGTCTCCTGGATCCTAGGTTGATGCTCAGCCGCTAAGCCCCACCAGGTGGTTTAGTCACCTTTTAAAATTGACATTCTCATTGGTTTGTAGTGAAGCCTTGTACACTTACTTGGTCTGTGGCTGAATAGAGAAAAGGATTGAGCTAAAGTATAACAGAAAAAGAACCAGAGGAAGGAAAACTGCCAAAGTGATGGTGACACCGCTGCAGTAACTGGTTATCAGTAACGAGAAGGGAGCAAGGGGAAGGCTGGATAATACAGGCAGGCCATCTTCAGCTTGGCCAGGAAGCTGCGGTGTGACACTCTCCAGGCCTGTTCCCCGCAGATCACTGGGGGAAGGGACTGGGCAATAGAGGCATCAGGCAAGGTCCGGGTGATGTGGGAAGGGGCTTGTCTGTCAGTCACTGGCCAGAGCAGGCGTGTAGGCCTGGCCGCTGGAAGCGTGGGAAGGTTTGATATTTAAGTTCCTGAACAAAGGAGTTTTCTGTCTCTTGGCTCTCTTGCTCCTCTTGCTCTCTTGGGACGCCTGTTGCAGGGGGTCCACTCCCCGGCATTCACCCACATGGCTCATGGCCACGTGGACCCCACACAGCGGACTGATGGATTACAGCCAGCCTGATGCTGTGCCTGGAATGGAAACGTTGGACACTGGCTTTGCTTCTAGCTCCGCTGAAGCCCCAGCTGCACCTTTTCCAGGACTGGTTTAAGGGGAATTGGACTTTGGAAACCAAAGGATATAACTATATGCAAATAAACCTTTCTGCCACATCTCATTCTCCCATGTGAGTCTTAGAAAATTCTTTTTCTCAAGATATTGTAAGACCTCCACTCTCACTAGCATCAGAGAAGTTCCACCCATGCAATTCTCTGATAACAATGGCAGTGCCTTTCTTGAGTTGTTTGAGAGAATGTTCACACAAATACTGTGAATTTTTTTTTTTTTACTACTTTCTGCGCCTGTTTATGCTGTTCCTTGTGTTTGGTGTGGTCTCATTTTCATTCTTCCCAACTGTAATGCCAGTTTTATCCAACATTCCTGATTTCTTTTACTGTAATGATACTGGATCATTAAAATTATGCAATATAGTTTAATTATTTGAGATATGCCTTTCTCTCTTAGCTATAAGCAATTTAAAGCAGATATTGTATGTTCATTAATGTTTGTATCCCTTAATGTTCATAACAGTTAATATCAAATGAGTGAACAGCTGAATACATAACAGATTTATATAAGAGAAATTTACACGGGTGGCATGCAATTGTATATATATAATTGTATAAGTAATAAAATGAAGGCTATACTTAAGTCAGAAAGGAAAAAAGGAAGAATTAAGAAAAAGAGTCACAAAATTTTAATTACTAATGAACAGTATACATTATGCACTGGAGTATGTTAGATCAAAGTGGAATTTTAGAAGAAGGAAGATGTTAGCCAGAAGAAAATCTGTGTGAAGCTCATGTGTACTTTACAATTCTTACACTTGGGGAAATGTTAAGCTCTGAAAGGCCAACAATCATATGTTTTATACTCTGTAGAAAGAGGTTCCATCATAAAAATTAATAAAAAGGGTGTTTAGTATTTTTAATATTTTCCTCATTAAATATCATTTTTAACTTAAAATTTTACAGATACCTACAGAATATTGGACACACAGATCCAGGATACATAAGACTTTATCACCTTGAATCAAGGATTTATTTTGATACCTTCCTCTGTCTTTTCTTCATACCAACTAAATTATTTTTAAAAAGAATTAACAAATTTGCCATAAAGAAATTGTAAAAAAATAATACAACCCACACTTTCCAATGCCTAAGAATAGCAAGGTGGTAAAGAGAGAATTAGATGATGATGTTATTGAATCTGCCAAAGACCTTCTTTCCTATGAAGACCCAGCTGATGATGTTTTTAAGAAAACTGAACTAACTATTGATGTCCAAGAAGGGAAAAATACAGATGCTAAAAGGCAATCTGGAGTCGAAGATGAAAGACCAGCTTGGAACAATAAGCTACAATACATCCTGGCCCAAATTGGATTTTCTGTAGGTTTAGGGAATGTGTGGCGATTCCCATACCTATGTCAGAGAAATGGGGGTGGTAAGTTTTATTTTTTTAAGTGATACATTGCTGAGTAAATTTCATTTGATTATCTCAAACAGCTGCTGTTGTTACTGGAGTCTCATTATTTTAGAAAATATGAATTTAAAAGCTAGGGAGACTCATTTTTTGAAAGTGGGCTTAACTTTGTTTTCAGAATAGTTTTCTATAGGAGCAGATGGCTTGCTATTAATACACAAGGTTTGCTTTAAGGGGAATACATTCTCAGATTCTTTCTGTGGATGCTATGAAATACTCTAAATTACTGACTTTTCTAACAAAGGTTGCAGCCCTTGTGCCCACCAGTTATTCTCTTTGGAGAAAAACCTAGTTTCTGGCATGACAATATTGGTGAAGACAGACAATTTTCTCTCTATGACTTATTAACTCTGAATTTTAAGTTGTTTTACTCTTCATAAAAGCTAAAATTACATATAATTTAGAATGATTATAGTCTTCAAATGCTGACCAGAACTTTGCAGATTCCAGTAGAATTAATGGGATAAATAATATAACATCAAGCATTCTTCATCTTTAGATATGATATGTATTTGGTTCCCAATTCTGTAGTATTTGGGGACAATGTTTTATTTTAAAGAAAATTTTAAAGAAATTATAATCCTTAGTTTTAAACAAAAAATCTATGTCAGCATGATATTGTAATTTTTTGGGGGGGGATTTGTGCATGTAATTACCATGGGTTATTTAGCAATCATTTCTTAAAAATTAAGGGGGGAATCACATACAAAGGAGTAGATTGTTTATGTAGGACATCATCTTTATAGTAAGTCCAAATGAATGTTAACTAACATTTGGTTTGAAGCTTTATTATTTATATACCCAGAAGTTGTTAAAATAAGGTGGTTAAAAGCTAAATATTCTATATACCTCATTTCAGTACCCAAAGGATAGAAAGAATATTTTGGTATTTGATTCTAGTTTGTGATAGTTTTGTTGACTGGACAAAAATATGGTTTTATTTTTGACGTAAGTGCAACCTACAAATCAAATGAAATAATATAACCAATGTGAAATCGCTTCTTAGCCACTAGGAGGTAAGAAGATAAAAGTGTTATAGTGACAACATGTTTAAAATCTCACTTAGTTTAGCCAGGCACAAAATAAACCGGTTTAAAAAAATTAGCCTGTTAGGCAATCTTTTTGAGAGGTAGAAATCAGTACACGAAGTTGCCATTGCGCTCCGTATCATTCCACTGAACTTGTGAGCTCCTTAGCTGGTCAGTGACATCACATATGAATTATTTATCAAATCAGCTATAAACAGTCGTGTACTACCCTGTTTTTTGTTTCTCAAAAATCATTGCATGTGCCAGGACTTTGAGAAGATGAAATCTGATTTTCAGACTTCTCACCTTACGAGCCTTACTGTCCATACTGTTAAGGAGAAGGTTGTCGTAGCTGCAGTCAGGTTGCCTTCCGTTTAATACAGTTTTTGTCTTGAGGGAGTACTCTAAAGAATTTCATATTTAGTTATGAGCAAAAGAGGCTCCTCTTTCTCATTTTCATGTAAAAGAAGTCCAAATGCCCTTCCTAATACTGTTTCCTTTCTTCTAATCACAAATACTACAGAATGATATTTTAAAACACCATGGCCTTTTATCGTGTGAAGATGGTGTCCGAGTGCAAAAGGTTGTCCTCGGCGTGCGGTTTAGCATGGAGCCTTCCAGGCACTCGAGGAGCGTCCTCTGCCTGCTGGGTCAAAGAGCCTCGCTACCTAAATCTTACTTATTCATCATTTGAGGCACTTTATGAGTAATAGAAATAAAAAGTAATAAACCTAATATAAGTTGATCTGTCTGAAGATACTATACTTAAAGCGCAGCAGTTAAGGTTAATAAGTAGTATAACGTAGATGCTGCCAGCTCAGATTTTGAAATCCATTTGACTGAAGCCTGGCTCTTTCGGACACTAGTCATGTGATCTTTTACAAGTTAACTTACTTCTTCTCGCCACACCTGTAAAATGAGGATAATAATGGTACTTACCCCATTAGGTTCTTGTAAGGAATAAATGAATAACTAACTATGTGTAACAGGCTTAGAAATGTAACTGACAAATGGTAAATACTCAGTTGTATTTTAGCCATGATTATATTTAATATGGAGAGGCTGAAGTGAAGAGTAATTTGAGTTAGAGGAAAAGGCTAAGTATCTAATAGCATGTCTTGCATACATAACTGAGGGAAGATTTCCAATGAATCCAGTGTTAATTCATAACCAACCCCGTCATTCCGTCATTTACACACACAAACCCATTCACATTCTAGGATTTGATGCAGGTGTTAAAATGCACTTTCAGTTCTTTGGGGAACATTTTCAGGTCACTAGTGCCTGAATGTTACAAATCATTTTAGAATTAGAAATTTGGTAGTTCTGTTTTTTAAGCTCATGCATCCGTGCTTTATATTACATACCCCTTTGTAGAATCAACCCAGGTCCAAAAGACTGAAAGTCAGCCATAAGACAGTAGAGATTTTTTACTGACCACTATATTAGGGGAAATTTCTGCATATGGTCATTATTTCAGATATTGAGATAAATAATTTAAAAAAAAATTATTTAACTCTTCCGCAGAATGCCCGAACAATTTATATAGCTTCCAAAGCCTATTCAGTACCACTTAACACTTTTTAAAAATGGGAAAATATAATAAATGACCTCTTATTTAAAAAGGGAATTAGTACCATAGATTGCATAACCCACTGGACAGTGTCTGGTTGGACAAAACTCCAATAAGAAATTTGAATGTAGATCTTAGAGGTTATTTAATGAATGATTTGTATACATATTCTCATGTAGAAATGAGTATAGGTTTCATATTTAACTTTATCAGTTAATAGTCTAATATTAACATTGTCAAACTAGTACATTTTAAAATCACTATTCATATATCTTAATTTGAGACTTAGCTGCAAAATGATTTTTTTAAAGCATGGAAAAAAATCATAATTATAAAAAAATTATAAAATATGTACTATAAAATATTTTATAATAGATATGAAATATCTTTGTTTCTGTCAATCTCACCACCCCATCACAGAATTTTGGAAAACAAAAAATTGCTTGTTCCTAAAGTATACTTTTTATCTGAAGTATGTATGGGAAAAATGTGATAGAGGTTATTTTATTTTTTAGTTGAAGCAGCTGTTTCTTCTCCCTTGTTGTTAAGGAAAAAAAGTCAAATTTAGTTCCATAAAATCTCATTCATTTTAGTTTATCAGATTTGCAACACATGATTTATATCAATAGATGAGTTTGAATAAAATTTAATAAATGGCTTCATAAACATTGTGTGAATAAGATTTCCACGAGTTTATGAAACCTACTTGAGAAAATAATTTTAAGAAATCATTTATTTTTATGGAAAATGAAGTTGTTTACCCTTTCAATAAAATGAAACCAAAACTATTCATTGATATTCTTACTTTTATCATAATTATTTTTTATCAGAAACTCTTTGTAGCAGTCAAACTGAGGTTTCAAGTACTAGAAAGTTTAAAGTAATGAAATTGCATTTTCTTTCAAGTCCTTTATATTTATACCGTGTAAAATTTCAAATATCATCTTTTATGAGATAATCAGAATTAGTGCATTCTCTTCTGTACTTGAAAATATAATCTATTTTATTTGTTCTTGTCTCCGTAGGTGCATATCTTTTGCCATATTTTATACTGCTTATCATAATAGGTATTCCACTTTTTTTTCTGGAACTTGCTGTGGGTCAAAGAATTCGGCGAGGAAGCATCGGTGTGTGGAATTACATAAGCCCTAAACTAAGTGGCATTGGATTTTCAAGTTGTGTAGTAAGTTTTCTGATATGGCATATGCCATATAATTTTTATAAGGTTTGGATTTATATTGTTTGTATTTAAATAAAACTTTTGAGTGTGTATTTCTACTCAACTCTTTAATCATCTTTTTAAAAAAAAAACACTACAGGAGCTTGCACTAATATATAAAACAAGCTGAACTATATTAATATAGTTCAATCTTGTTAATACATGTTCTTAAGACCCATGAGAGACTTTTTTTTAGAAAAGATAATGTGTTTTAAATGAAAATAAAGTGAGTAGGAGTTTTAAAATGTTAAATGGGGTCATAAACATATCGTCTCCTTTCAAAGGAAGGGGCATGAGAGGCTTACTGTAATCATTATTTTATTTTGCAGGTGTGCTTTTTTGTGGCCCTCTATTACAATGTCATCATCGGCTGGAGTTTGTTTTATTTTTCCCAGTCTTTTCAGCACCCTCTACCTTGGGATGAGTGTCCTTTGGTGAAAAATGTTTCACATACTTGTAAGACATGAACAATATAATTTTATATTTAATGATTATAAAGTGGTAAAGGCATGCATGAGCTTTCAAGATTTTTTATAATGTAGAAAAATCTTTCAAGATTATTATAACAACTTTCCTCACTTTTAGGATCACTATACTCAGATAGAACTTTGGCACCATCTAAGTTTTCTAGCTCTTCCCAAGTTACTTTTTCCTAGTTAAGTATAGTTGGTATACATTATTATATTAGTTATATTAGTTTCAGGTGTACAGTATGGTGACTTGACATCTCTACATGCTACAGTGTAATAACCCCACTAATTCTAGTAACCATCTGTCACTATGCAAACTTTTCACAATATTGTTGACTATATTCTCCTTCCCAAGTTATTTTGTCATGCCCCATGACCTTAGGTTGAAATGTTATAAGCCTTTAATTGTTAACTTGGAAGTCTTTAATTTTGTACACCTCTTTTGATGCCTTACAGGTTTTTGTTAAAGGACAGAAAAAATGAATTTAGATTGTAGTCATTGTTTTTATGTCTTCTGTTTTGTCGTTTCATAATTTTTCTATCATTTATTTTTATATCCTAGAGTATAAATAAGGAATATTTCCCTATAGCAATGGCCAGTAAATATAGACTATGTATAAAATTATCTAATAGCCACATTTCAAAAAAGAAAGAGGTGAAATATTTTATTTAATCCTATATATCCAAAATATTAACATTTCAACATACAATTAATGTAAAAATTATTAATGTAATAATTTGCCTTATTTTTCTCATACTAAGTCTCAAAAATTCCCTTTGTATTTTATATTATAGCACATGTAATTTTGGATTAGCTTATTGCAAAATCTCATGGCCAGCCACTGGCATATTTGACAGCTGTGCCCCAGGAAGATAATTCTGGGAATGGAAGGGACTATACATTTGATATGTTTTAATTACTTTGATAAAAAGCTCACGTTTTTATTCATAAATGTGTAATAAGAAATATCAAAGAGGATATATATGTGTTGATTTCACATTTTTGCAGTTGAGTTTTTATTGTGAATTTAAATGCTTCTGTAGAATAGTAATATTTTTCTAGGAAATGTTGAGAATTGATTTATAGGCTCACTGGAAAAAATTTTTCTTATTACTCTTTAGAGTCTGAAATTATTGTGTTTCCTTTCTTTCTACAGTTGTAGAGCCAGAATGTGAAAAAACTTCCTCCACCACCTATTACTGGTTCAGAAAAGCACTGGATATTTCCAGTTCCATTTCTGATGGTGGTGGCTTAAACTGGAAGATGACCGTCTCCTTGTTGGTTGCCTGGCTCATGGTTTGCTTGGCTATGATCAAAGGCATTCAGTCTTCTGGAAAAGTTAGTATGCTAGAGCCCCTCCTGATTCTGTAATCTCTGTGGGCAAACTGCACATAGCACTTCATTCTAGGTAGTTAAAGATTGGTTAAAAGTGGTGCTTGTAAAATGTGTTTATATTAAGGCAACGACGTAAGTAAAGAGATAAATGTTTTATTCTGAAACCTAAAGTAATTTATAATTTTATTTCATCAAGAGTTTTGAAATTTTTTGTCAGTACAATTTTTTTTTAATTTTTTTTGCTATTTATTTAGTTTACCCTAATATTTTAGTTTTCTGATTACCAGTCAGCTCCAGACATGGAAATTAGAGAAAGTGGTAGAATGAAGAATTTGTTCATTTTATTTGTCTTATACCATTCATTTTTCTCTCCTATAGTTGCTCTAAGGAATAGTTACATAAAATATTTTAATATGGTCTCTAGTGTGGAGGGTTTCTTAAAGATCTGAACACCATTAGGTAGTTACGATCATCTCAACTAGGAACTCAGAGTAAATGTAAAAGATTAAAGGGCATGCCTGCCAGGGCAAATGGAAATTTTTAAAAGGCTGTGGTTGAAAAAGACATTAAGTGAATTCTAGAAGTCTTGATTTTTTTGTTTTTTGTTTTAAAGAATGCATTAGGAAAGTGCTATTCACTTTTTTTGCTTTCATATTGCATTTTTTCATTAATATTATCGTTGTTTAATGTTCTTATGTCTCTTCGCTGGACCATAGCAAGAATTTTGGTTCTTCTTGTCAAATCCATCTCTACTGTTTTTTTCTTTACAAAGCATAGATCTGATTATATATCTTTCCAGGTTAATATATGACCACTCACCATCATATACTGGTAGAAGTGGAGATAATAGTAGTAGTGGTAATAAATGATGGTGGTGAAGATGACTCTCACAGTAATCAGAGCAAGAACAGTAACAGAGGCTAATATTTATTGCATGTGTTTTTTGCTCTAGGAACTGTGATAGGTACTTTATATACTTTATCCCATTTAATTCTAAAGAAAACTCTAAGTAGTAATTACTATTCTCAGGCCTGTTTTACAGACGTAAAACAGTTTTGAGAAATTAGGTAACTTGCCAAAGACTTGTGGCTAGTAATTGCTGGTACCTTGAGTCAAACCCAGCTCTGCCTAAATCTAGAGCCCAAGTTATTTAATTGCTACACTATAATGCCTCTCACTGTAATATTTTTTCACACCATATAGTTAACTCTTTTAGGTCAGGAATCTATGTAATTCATCTTTGCTTCCTGTTATTTCATCTTTAATTAAAAATGTTTGATGATTGCCCTGGCTGGTGTGGCTCAGTGGACAGAACGTCAGCCTGTGCACCAAAGGGTTGGGGGTTCGATTCCCAGTCAAGGGCACTTACCTGGGTTGCAGGTTCCATCCCTGGCCTCACTTGGGGTGATTGTGGGAGACAACCAATAGATATGNGGTGGCCAGAATTGGCCTCACCTACAGGGTGGCATCTGAGCAAATAATCAAAGGAAATGGGGCTGAAAGAAAGGTAAGAATGGTAAGACCCACATGAACTGCATTCTATAAGTTAAGAATAAACACTTTATAATAAAATGACTTCTGACAAGCTAAGTTTGCTCATAGAGGAAGTTGAGCAAATGTTACTTACAGCTCTTCCATTCTTCCCCGGGAGGTCTGAGAAATGACAAAGCATCTATAACCCAATTATCACCTTAATTGTTAAAAAATAAAATTCCACCCGTCTCAGTGGTGGTAGCGCGCCTGTGGAACTTTATTCTGTTTGTTGTGCGTTAAGTGGTTTGTTCTCGTGGTCACACAACTGTAATCCACAAAGTGTCCTTCTGTACACGAATCAAGTGAAGTATGAGGCTGGCAAATACCCTTTCCAGAATAGCTTAGCCCTGGTTGGGTGGCTCAAGTCGGTTGCCTCCTGTACACCAAAAAAAGGTGGCAGGTTCGATTCCTGGTCAGGGAACATACTTAGGTTGCAGGTTCGATCCCAGGTTGGGGCGCATACAGGAGGCAACCAATCGATGCCCCCTCTCCCTTCCTCCCTCCCTCCCATTCCCTAAAAATCAATGGAAAAAATATCCTCTGGTGCTGATTAACAACAACAACAACAAATGTTTGATGATTTTTTTAACTTGTAAATCACAACTAATTTTATATTTACCTTCCTGCTGGAACTTCTACAGCATTTTTCCTTTGGAAAAATGAATATGATAGATAACACATCTGAATATCTTTTCGTATTTTCTGAATGTCGATGGTTTTTACAATTAAATAAGATCGATTAATTGGTTCAGTTTCTTGTCTTCTACCATTCCGAGACACATTACAGTCATATTTTAAATAAAGGAATAGATTCTTAAATCACATCTAACCACATTTACGTGCTTCCTAAGATAATGTCATTTGGTAGAAAGAGAACCAGAGGTGGTGGTTAGCCAGAGAAGTCCAAAAATCTTTGTGCTTCAGTCTTACTGCCACATTTTGTTTCTTTTTAGTCTGAGTGTGTCTTATCATTATTTAAAGAAATATTCATCCTTTTCTTATCACAGAATTTTGCAGTTGTTTTTCTTATGTCATAAGATACAACTTTAGAAAAATTTAATACAACTTATATGCTACATACAGTTTATTATTTCAATGAGAAGGCTTCAGTGGCTTTTGGGCAACATTTGAAGAAAGAATTCAGTAGGCACCGATGAGGAGAAAGCTGTCATGTGAGCAAAGATATAAAAATCTAAACTGTCACAATTCCTCAGTTTGAAATGAGCTAAATTTAATAGGAAAATGTTTGTTAGAAGTAAATATAAAGCTCTCTGTTTGCCTGTCAGATAAAGAAGCCTCCAAATAAATAATCACACAAGGACAGTATAGAGAAATATGATTTAAGGGTAATATGGTTTATAGGTAGTGTATGAAAGACACTGTTTAGAGGATTTAGTAGTTAAGAGTCAACTTGTGGTATGCTTTGTCCACACACACACACACACACACACACACACACACACATGCACGCACACGCACACACACACACACACACACACACTCACCCGTGCACGCACACCCCACAAGGGCTCCTTGGGAACTTTCTGAATTAAAAGAGGAGTGTGATAGTGTCGGGCTCCTTTGCACACCTCAGTCGGACCAGGCCTGCAGCCCTGGATCTTACTGAAATCTTTGTTTCCCCCATTATGATGGAGAAGAGAAACCTCAGCCCTGCGGTCACAGTCCTCAGCCAGTTGAATGGAGGAAGGATAAGGCTCCCTCCGTGTGGCTGCGGGGGACAGAACTGCGGTCAGACATTGGGGGCTGTGGAGAGCGGTGGGGGGTAGATCTCCAAGGAAAGGAGGACCCTCGGGGAGCCAGCCTGGTAACAGCGAAGCTGGTCTCAGTGGGAGTGAGCTCGACATGATCGAAGCTGGCCAGACAGCCTGCACGTCCCTTTCTTACAGCCTCTGTTAAGGGGATACCTGCCCCAGGGTGAAGGCTACAAAGAGAAGCTCTAAGCTCTAAGCTTTCTAGGTTACTGTTGGTTTGGGAGCACTGCTTTGCCACTGTTCCTCCTGCATGCTAAGGACTGTGTGTATTAGCTTGTTTAAACCTTTCTGTCAGCCAGATGGTTTGCATGGTTTTACCCTCATTTTTCTGTGAAGTTAATAAACTTGGGGAGACTAAATAATTGGCCAGAATTGGCGGTGAAGTCCTCAAAGAAAATGGCTTTCTCAAAGTGCGTTTATAATAAGCATTTTAATGTAAAGAAAAAAACAAAATAATGTTTTATGTTCTTCAGTGGTTGAGTGGAATGAAAATATTTTCATGCAATGTTTTGATTGATAAACTGATCTCTTACTGAAAAGTGTTTCAGTTGTCAAGACCCAGAGGGTCTTAAAATTTGCCAAAGAAACATATTTCATTGTTTCATTTCCCAGTTCTTAAAAGTGTATATTTTCTGGACAACGTAGTCGTTCATTAATTCATTTAATGCACATATATTGATTGAGCACCTACTATGTGCCAGGCACTGACCTTGTTTTGGAGGTAGAGCAATGAACAAGGCAGACAAAATGCCAGTCTTCATAGAATGTCCATTATAATGGCAGAAGAAGACAACAAACAAATTCGTAAAATAATTTCATTCAAGATAAAGTGTGGTAAAGAGAAAGTGTAGCATTTTATATATAGTCATGTAGAGTAACCTATTTTTAAAAACAATATGCAACTATTTTGGTATAAGATTATACCCATATGATTAAAGGTAAAGAATTTGAATTTTAAAACATCATATGGACTCCTCTGTAAAGAGCTGACTTAAGATTCATGTTAGATCTCAGAATTTAATAATTTTTTTTTTTACCTGTCACCTACCTTTTTTTTTTTTTTTTTAAGNTTTTAAATATATCTTTATTGATGTCAGAGAGAGGAAGGGAGAGGGAGAGAGAGATAGAAACATCCATGATGAGAGAGTCATTGATCAGCCACCTCCTGCACGTCCCCGACTGGGGATCGAGCCCGCAGCCTGGGCCTGTGCCCTGACCGGGAATCGAACCCCGATCGCCTGGATCCTAGGTCGACGCTCAACCACTGAGCCACGCCAGACTGGACACCTGTGACCTACTTAATACTACTTAAGTGTTTAAAATTTGGGTTATTTTTCTCCATGTTACATTAAATATAAAATTTTACTCTTTAGGAAGCTATGCTAGAGTCTTTTCATTGAATCCAAATCAGGGTCTTTATGAACTCAAATATTTGTTGAACTAATAAATGAAAATTGAAATGATTCTGATAATATAATTAGTCCATAATTTTAAAAATACTTCAGAATAAAGATGAGTTTATATTTTTTAGGGAATGTATGTACAAAGGAAAACTTAATTTTCTATAAGTTCTGTACAATATTTTTGATTAGGCCAGGAACTAACTTATATGCAAAGATGAACAGGGCACATTTTGTCCTTATGGGACCCATAATTTAATGGGTGAGACAGATAATTACAGTAGAATAAATGCAGTAATAGAGGCATATAAAAAATGCATGACAGGCCCTGGCTGGTACCTCAGCTGGTTAGAGCATTATCCCGCTTCGCTGAAGTTGCCAGTTTGATCCACTGTCAGGGGACATATAAGAATCAACCAATGGATGCATGAATAAGTGGAACAATTCAGTGTTTCTCTAAAATCAATAAGTAATTTTTTTTAAATGCATGATAGCACAGAGGTAGCCACTGAAATGAACATGGATTTGAGGGAAGTTTACATAGAGGAGGTAACTTTTGGATTAGAGTATGTGTTTGAGGAGGAGTTCATCAGAAAGTTCAGAGAAAGAACTGGATGCGCAGAAAACGTACAAAGCCCAAAGATTGCTGAGTACCCCTTTGTGACTTTTACATACAACTGTGCAGCTCTTGGGAGATGAAACTTGAAATGTAAGTTGACTGCAGATTAAAGTATCTGTGGGCACTGTTAGAATGATTGGCTGTTATCTAACAAATTATGTAGAACATTTGAGGATATTTGGCAGTTCATTGACACCATCGGGTCTTTAGTTTAGAAAGGTCATTCTGGTTGTAGTGTGGATGATGGATTTCAGGGATGAAGGGAGAGCTGGCAGGGAGAATCAGGAGGTAAGATGACCAGGAAACTATTATAATAGTGACACATTACTAAGGATGGAAACAGACATATGTGAGATTTCTGTGGTAGAATCAATAGTTTGGCTTGATGAGTTGGTTATGGGACATGGCAAGAGGGACATATTAAGGGTGTGGTTAGCCTGGACAAATAAAAGTAAAGAAGAGCCATTTCTTCCCTGAGTCTCTAATTTGAAGTTATATTAAGAACATGCTGACAATATGTCACATTATTGGGAAAGTCATAATCAACCTATACAGACTAGTGTGTAGCCTTCATTTTTACTTTTAAAATAAGTGGGATTAATGAAATTAAGTCATTTATGAGGCAGCAAATTTGAGTTTTGTTTTTTTTAAAAAATGATAAGCTGTTTTGCAAAATTGAATTCTTGCCTCTGGCTAGCATCAAGATCTGTGAAGAAGAATCATAAAAAGAATTGCTTTAATTCAAATGAGATCAAGGCTACTCAGATACATAATGGACTGACAAATTTAAAGAATGCTGAAAGTAGGCAAGAAGAAGAATAAAAGCATTCCATCTGAAGGCATTCTGATAAAGGAAATGTGGGTGATTTGAAGTAATCAAGGAATTAAACCAATTTGAAATTATTGAAAAATTATGCTTTATTATAACTGCATTAAAATGTTTTAATTAAAATATTGATTCTAAGTATATTGAGATTTTTAGTTTTTCTTAGGGTGTTCCACATGCATTTAAATATAAGTGCAATTAAATGCAATTAATAAAAATTAATAAAATAATTAAAAAATAATAGAAATAAATGCAATTAAAAGTGGATGGAACTGTAGAAGTGCAAATTATAATGTTGACTTATATGTTGTTTGCCTATAGTTATTCTTGGATTCAATATCTCTTACCTGCCCTAAGCCATCCACTGCTGTGACAGTTTCTCATCCATTCTTCACACTTCCCCTATTTCTTCCCACCAGATACATGTTGTATACCTACTATATGCCAGCAACTGTGTTAGGTGTTTGGGATATGGTAGTGAATAGGAGAGAAGGCCCCTGCCCTCACAGAGCTTATATTCCAGTAGAGGAGACAGGAAATTAATAGATGAACATAAAAAATAATTTCAACCATGAGTGCTGTAACAAAACAAAAGATAATGTCATGGAGAGTTTATGGGGCATAGGAGAGGCTAGTTGAGGATATTGGATGGAAAAAAGCATAGCCTTGTTTTGGTTGGTCTGGGAAGACTTCCTGGAAAAGATAAAGATGAAAAGTAAATAAGAAAAGTCCTGTGCGAATGAGGGAGATGAATGCAGCCCTGCTCTGGCCCTGAAGCTGAAGAGCTTGGTCTACGGGCAGGTGACAAGGGTCTGGGGGCCTAGAGCTCAGCTGGGGAGTGAGTGGTGGGGCAGACAGGTAGAGCTCTGGTGCAAGGCTTTGCAGGTCAGAGGGAGGAATTGGGATTTTATTCCAACTGTATTCAAAGTCCCTGGGGTATATTAAGCAGTGAATGAGCTAATCCAAGTTATATCTGGTTAGCGTGGGAACTTAGGAACATAAAGTGCAGGGCTACTTTTGAATTGTTGACTTTAGCCACTGGATGGATGGCAGGCCATTTACTGAGGTGGAGATGAGTGGGCATGGCTCTGGGGGAAATTGAGGTTATCTGAACCGGAAAATTTGAGAGACCTAATAGGATTCCACATGGAGATGTCAGGGAGGCAGTAAATGTCTGGATAGGACAATTCTTTTTCTATAAAAATCATTTGCTGAAGTTTAATAGTGAAAACTGCTGAAGCAGAAAGTCAAACCTTTACATGGTTATTTGTTGAAGTTTTTTAGGAGACTTAAGAGGGACCGACCACTCACTACAGAAGCTCTACAAGATCAATAATGAAAGTTTGGTTAATGGAAAAAAATGGCTTTTTTAAAACCTAAAACAATAAAGAATTTGTTAGGGAGTTCGTGCCCATTTATTTCTCTTAAATATTGCCTGTTTGTGAATTATAAGTAATCAATCCTATTTAAGTTACACAATACCTCTTGACTTTTAAAGGAGATTAAGAAAACTTTCATATTTTTTAGTACATCTCAAAGAGGATTAAATAAGTCATATTAAATCAAGATTAATATGCCCATTTAAGATAGTTATCAAGTTATTTTATTAATCATATAAAAACTGTCCAAGTATAGAACAGAACACAGTATGAACGATAAAAAAGAATATAGTTGTTAGTGTGTCTCACCTATTTTTTTTTTTTTTTTCTTTGCAGATCGTATATTTTAGCTCTCTGTCCCCATATGTGGTACTTTTTTGCTTCCTAATCAGAGCACTCTTTCTACAGGGTTCAGTTAATGGCATCCTCTACATGTTCACCCCTAAGGTAGGTACTGCATTTCTATTTAAGGCTTATGATCATGAAAGAATTAAGTTTGTTGTTAAAGTGTTCCCATAGTTCGATTCAAGGGATAATTGTTCTAACATATACACTATGCTTTCAGATTATAGCTGTTACGTTATCTAGCCTAGATAAACCAGAGCTTTTATATATCTGTATTTATGTCCATCTATCTCCAATTTTAAATGTCCCATTTTAATTCTAGATTAAGGCCGTAGCTATTTAAACTTTAAAAATTTCTTTTTTATATTAAATTAACTTCCAATTAAAAAAAATATATATCTTTATTGATTTCAAAGAGAGGAAGGGAGAGGGAGAGAGAGAAATATCAGTGATGAGAGAGTCACTGATCGGCTGCCTCCTGCACACCCCCAGCTGGGGATTGAGCTGTGATCTCCTGGATCCTAGGTTAATGCCCAACTGCTGAGGCCCGCTGGATGGCCTAACTGCCAATTTTTAAGCTTGTAAATTTTAGAACTTTTCAGTCTTTACTTTTCTTTCTCCTCTGTTTCAGTGGTTCTTAACATTTTCTGTCATGGACCTCTTAAAAAACAGTAATAGGATCTTATCAGAAAAATATAATGAACATATTAATTTGCTTAGTGTCTCAGGAGGTAGACAAGTCATCTAAAATCCGTGGACCCAGGTTAAGTCCCTTCTCAGAGCGAACTGTTTTGAGATTTTGGACCTTCTAGAATAGTATGTACCTGGTGAATTTGAGTTCTGTAACTTTTACAGATACATGTACATTTGAGGAAAATTCTCATTTGACTTCATAAAAGGCTCAGAACTTGTGCCCTGTCATTCAGTTTAGAGTTGAACTCAATGCTGGGCACACTGAACACATATATCAGTCTTTGTGGATCTGTTATATTTACTTGACAGGAAAGGAAACCAAGTTTTGAGGCATATATTTATTTGGTTAGTCACTGAAATGAAGTTATAGCTCACTATTACTTTGCTAACACTGTTCAGGCAGACACTGAGTTATAAAAATACAATTTCAAAATTAGGTCAGAAATTGGAAGATATCTGAAGAATGATCATGGTGTGAGATTTGGACAGAAGGTGCTAACTTCGCAGGAATTCTTTGTCACTCCTGGCAGCTGCCTTGATACTATGTAAAAGAGGATATGTTCTTTGGGTATTTGGTTCCAACTTGGTATTCATTCTCTAGTAGCAAAAACTTTGACATTGGTATCTGGTGTTCTTGAATAGCTCATAAGTCCTGTTTAACATTTAGCATTGTTGGGACATGCCACTGAATAACTAGTTAGGATTCATAAATTTTAGCTACACTATAATATAAATCATTTTCAAATGGGACATACTTAATGACCAAAATTATTTATATCTGTAATATTGAAAAATAAACATGTTCTGAGTTTAAAACAATTAGCTTTGGCATACATTTCTGGCATAGCACCTTTTTCTAAGTTGGCAATTGCTTGAGACATAATTTTAAATATTTGATTTAAATAGATATTTTAGAATGTAAACCCTTTGTTATGATATTTTTACATGGTTCCTATATTAAAAACCGCATTATTATCCTTTTAAACTAGGTCTATGGATCGCTTAAAATATAGTTAATTCTTTCTTCAGCTTTTCATTGTAGATATGATTCTGTATTAGTTCACTGTAGGATGTGATAGTTGATATAATAACAATAAGAAGTTGTTAATTACTTTTAATTTACATTGTTTATATAAGAAAGTATCTGAACACAGGAAATATTCCCAAAACCCTGAATGTAGATTTAATTCCTGAATTAGAAGTACAGCAATCTGAATAATGTTCTTAGTAAATAGGTTCTTTCTGCCATCTAGTGGGCAAAGTAGAGACAGACAGTTGATTGTAGTGTTTGAGTAGATCAGTATTAACCATAGAATAGTAAGATAGCAGTGGTCAATAAACAATATACATATCTTAGTTAATTATATGTAAGTTATAAACTTTAGTATTTCATGAAAAAAGTTCATACATTTCAATGATAATAACTGAAATGAATTGAGCAATACTGATATTTGAGAGAACCATAGATTTTGTAATCTACCTGTGTTCACATTTCAGTTCCACCCAGAACTGCTGTACAAGCTTAGACCGGTTACTTAACCTTTCTAAGATTTAGACAACAGTAGCAACAGTTTCATGGATTATTGTAAAGATTAAATTAGGTAATCTATATGAAGTGCTTATCAATGTGCCTAACACTGTGGTCTACATATGCTAGCAATTTTTGAGCACTTAGAGTGTGGTAGGCGATGCGGTAAGTTGTATGTCTTATTACTCCCATGATTCAGCTGAGGAAGCAGAAAAAGAGAGTACAGGCCACTTACCCTAGGTTGCACTATTTTTATTTCGATTATTAAGTGTCAGAATCAGGATCTGAAACTGTCTGTGGAACTCATGTTCTTACCTATGTTTGACATTGCTCCCAGTAAAGGCAGTTTCATCACAATTGTAAAAAAAAAAAGATAAAATGCCAGTTTAAACACTACTGTTACTGAAATCAAACCTAACTGTTTATTGTGGTCTTTGTCATATATGACTAATATTAATTGTCCCATTTAAAAAGTTTGATAATTCTCTAAGAAGTAAAGCAGAATTACTTGAGATACGTTCAGCACAGATTCAGAACTTTAGACCTTTGGATCTGAAATGGTCTTAGAAATGATACAAAGGGGTGGGCAGAAGTAGGTTTAAATTACCAGCCAGCATTACATAAAAAATAAATCAAGTAAGGATATGAAAGAACAGCAATCATCATAATAAGACAAGTAATACAAATAAATAATACAATAATTAATAAGTAATAACACAAGAATAAACTGTTTTGTGTACTCACAGCTGTAAACCTACTTTTGCCCATCCCTGTAGTTGCATTTCTCTAATTTTAAAATAAAAGTCTCTCAGGAAAGCCTATTTGACTGAATGAATAACATATGGATTAGTAATACATATGTGAATATGCAAAATATAAAGTTTAACTGTACCATGCTTTTAATTATTATCTGCTCTATGACTTCCACCAGAAAACACAAAACATAGGGTATTAGTTAAGTAACTATTTAAATTTTATTGATATTGATTTATTTTGCTTTGGAAAGAACATAAAGACATAAATAGGAAATAATTGAAAATAGTTCACTTCTCTTTAAGTAGTCCTTTGGTGATTTGTCTTAAAGATATTTAAAAAGTCCCATATAGGTAGAAAACCTCCAAGTAAGTAAAATCTCCATCTACAAACTTGGTAAGTCTATAGTATTTCTTTTTCATATTCCTTGTTTCATTTTCAAATAAAAATTTTATTTCAATTTAAGAACTGATTATCCCCGTGATTTAAATAACCTTTGGGTGCATAAATATTATTATGATAAATTTAAGCACTACAGTTAATCCCATGTAGATTATTCTGAAATATCATTTTGCAGCTGATTTCTATTATGTTTAATTTTATACAGCTTGAAATAATGCTGGATCCCCAAGTCTGGAGAGAGGCTGCTACTCAGGTGTTCTTTGCTCTAGGTCTGGGATTTGGTGGTGTCATTGCCTTTTCAAGCTACAACACGAAAGACAACAACTGCCAGTTTGATGCTGTACTGGTGTCCTTCATCAATTTTTTTACTTCTATCTTGGCAACATTGGTGGTGTTTGCAGTTCTGGGCTTCAAAGGAAATATCATAAATGAGAAATGCATTGCAAGGTATGTATATTAATTTCCTTTAGCTTTTGATGGCATGATTATATAAAAAATTTACCCCCCAAACTCTTAAGTGTTCATTAACATGTTGTTCTATTTTTCAGAAATTTGAAAATGATTATAACATATATAAAAATGGGCAACATTAGTCAAGATATTATTCCCCATCGCTTCAATTTATCAGCTAGTACTGCACTCGAATATCACGAAATTTATGACATCATTAAAAAAGTGAAAGATGAAGAGTTTCCTGCCCTTAATCTTGATTCCTGTAATATCGAAGATGAACTAAATAAAGTTAGTAAGCTATGTTTAAGCAGTGAAATAAGTATCATTCCATTAAAATATTCATGTGCCAGGGGACTTTTTTGTTAGGAAAATGACCTTTTAAATGGCTGTGGAACAGTATGCTGTCTTAAAATTTACATTCTTTATTTCAGAGAACAACTTTCTTAAATCGTTAAAGGTTTGCTTTACTTTGAAAAACAATTTCAGTGATTAATCCCCAGTAATTTAAGATTGGAATATAAATTAAGTGATTTCCATCATATAAAATGAAATGAGTCTGATACCTTTCCTGGTATAATATTTACTATGAAAATTGTATTGTGTTTATCACCTACATATTTTATGATTATTTTGACACATGAATGATATTTGACCATTTTAATAATTGTGTTCAACAAGTTTTGATTGTCATTTTTTTTAGCCACTGTAATATATTTTAATAAATATAAAATAGGTGAGCATGAATAAATATTCTTGTATTGCTTGTCACCTCCCTGGATTGCCAAAAATAAAATGTCATAGAGAAATTAGCCATTAATCGCTTGCTTTAAGATATCTAACTATACTTGAGACTAAACATAAAGAATCATGTGCAGGAAATTATGGATAAAGCCATCATTAATATAAAGATCCTGAATTCTGTAAGGAAAGACAATTACTATCTCACTCTTAAAAGTTTTTTTGTTGTTTGTTTTTTTAATTCTGGCTTATTTGTTTTCTTTATGAGATAACACAATCAACTTGAAGTTAGTTGAAAGGCACGGTTTCTTAGGAGACAACGTGATTCTGCATGTTTCTTTCCAGTCCATCCCAGGCATTATTCAGAGTTCTTCCTGTTCTTTGTACCATCATTTAAAATGGCTCTGTAGTCATGTTGCTATTTTGTATATTTTACAGGCTGTTCAAGGAACTGGTTTAGCTTTTATTGCCTTTACAGAAGCGATATCACGTTTCCCTGCTTCTCCCTTCTGGTCGGTGATGTTCTTCCTCATGCTGATAAATCTAGGGCTCGGCAGCATGTTTGGAACCATGCAAGGGATCATCACACCTCTTGTGGACACCTTCAAAGTGAAGAAAGAAATTGTTACTGGTGAGTTTTTATGTATTTGACTTTCCATTGATTGATACAGGCCATTTTACTCTTGGTGAGAGATCAGTAGAAATACGAAAGTGTTATATTTGGGGGTTTATTAATGTCTTTTTATTAATATGTATTGCTATTATTTGTTAGTTTATTTAGTTCTATAATATGCAAATGGTAAATGTAATGCATCATATTATTAGTGATTATTTATTATGTTGCTTTCTGTTAATAGTGATGCCATTGCAGATTACTGGCGTTAGAATAAAGTCATAGTGTTCATGAACAAGTTTGTATGCAAGTGAAATAATTAATTATAAAAACGTAGCTCAGATCCAATATTCCTTTCCCAAAAGGTGCATAGCTGAAATTGATAAATCTAAACTTACTTCTCATATAAAATAGCGGTTGTGGTCTACTAGTAGTTAAAATCTCTAGGTAGGAAAGTAAATAAAACAACAATTGATGCTTGTTAATAAGTCCAATCTGCAAGCATTTATTAAAGTACCAGTCTTGTATTGCATTTGAGGGTTGTCAGACATATGAGAAATTATAACAGAGAAACAAAGATAGAGGAGAGCCCCTTCTGCAAAATAATAGTACTGATAATCAAAATCAAGTTGGGTAGATAAAAGACTTGTACCATGTAATATACTGATAGAATAATAGAGACTTTACATATTATACAAATTAAGAAGAAACAAAAGTCATCTAAATATGTGATTGAACTGATAATGAAAGAGATAGAAGTTGAATTGGAAAGAGGAGAGTCCTTCTTACAGGTCAGAGGATAGCTTTAGTAAGCGTATGTAAATAGATATAAACAGAGCGGTAAGGAAGCCAGCCAGACCAGAGTGCAGGAACAGTGTTGGCAAGTGATGCAAAAATAAATTGGATCATACGTGTGTGTGTGTGTGTATGTATATGTACTGTGTGTGTGTGTGTGTGTGTGTGTGTGTGTGTATGTACATATATGATCTTGAATGCTGGGCAGTGGTACATAAACTTCCTGAGGATCTGTTTTTGGTGCTGAAAGATTTAGTAATAATTTATGTGTAAATAACTCTCAAATATACACCTTTTTTTCACTTACTGCTCTGCTAAGTGTGTGTATGTGCGTGTGTAAAACAATTTAAGCAGTTTGTTAAATATTGATACTAAATATCCTCAACTCAGCTGAACATAAATGAGAAACTTCTTTACCTTCTCCCAAAAGGCAGTCTCTACTTCTCCAGTTTCTATTTCATTTAAGGCTGTCAGTATCCTGCCTGATGTGCAGGCTAAATAACAGTCATCTTTGCTGCTTTCCTCATCTTTGACTCATATCCAAAACCCGTGAGGTAAGAGGGCTTGCAAAATTAAGGAAAAAGCAACAGTGTAGAGGGAAAAACACACAAGGCCGTGTTTGCTGCCTCCTATTTAGTCAGAGCAAAGGGGAATGTATTCTCTTTCCTTCCCCATTACCTGTCTTTGGGATCATACCTATATTTCAAGTTACATTTGACCCTGATGAAATGTTCCTGCATTAACTTTGTCAGATGTGTTTTTGTCTTCTCTGATAGGACAGTAGGACTTAGATAAGTGAATTAGTCGCTATCTTTTCCTCTCACATCTTCAGCAAAACTCTGTTTGTACTACTTAGAATACACTTTCTTCATATTTACCTTACACTGTGGTGTAGTTAGGACACAGTGAAAGTGACACAGGGTATGGTTCATATTCAAGCTCTACTACTTCTATCCTGAGACTTTAAGTATACTGTGACAAGCATTTAAATATTTCAGTATGTGATAGACTCAAAGTATAGTACGTGTTACTTTTCCTTTTCTATTCATGTTTATATGTATTTGTTTATGTATGTAACTCATAACACAAGCATAGTGCTTTAGAGATGGTGGTAATGGCCTAATTTGACCCACACCTATTGAGACTGTTAGGGAAACCCCATCTTCGAACCCAGGGATTTCTGTGTTCTCACCTTCTTTTGCTTTTACTCACCCCTGCTAAAAGGTGGTTGAACTACACATAGCCAACTTTCATTTTTGAGCGTTTCTCTACTAATGTGCATGAGAGAATAATCAGTTGAACCAAACTATTCATTATTATATGTATCCCAGAAATTTCTCTTAAGTTTTTATGTTAATGGTCATAGGTTTCTGTATCTTTCTTAGATGCTACCGCAGAAACTTCTTTTAGGTAGTTCTTCTTTGTTAGTTGGATAATCAGATTGCCCGACCCTGTCGTAATTGTACTGCCAACTAATCAGTTCAGGCAATATCAAGGTCTAGATCTGAGTTGGTGCTAAGGCAAGGTCTGATCAGATTTTTTCAGTTATGCTTTAAAAATAACCATACTTTAATCAAATGTAAAAATGTATATTTTATCACAATCTTATTATAAGCTGCATTACTCTCATTATCAATGCAAAAATTCAGTAGAGCTTCCAAAACTATAAAACATTATTAAAAGTAGGAAAATGACCTATGAAAATTTGCTGCCTGAAAAGATCACTTTGCTATTAATTAAGAGAAGAAAGGCATGGAGATTTGTACTTTTAAAATCTTCACAGTTTTGCCTCATTTATTAATTGTACTCGGTAAGTAAGTTTGCACAGACTACGGAAGATGTGTTGAGTTACTGTCTTACAATGAATTTATATTAAATCTATGCTAAATCCAGGTAACAAACTCCCAACATGTAATATTCCACAATATCAGGAAAGATATTGCCTAGTTATATCATTGACAAGTTATAAAAGTGAAAACAAAATTATCATTTGAATATAATAATTCATAGTACAGTTTAAAATACTTGATTCTGAATAAGGGCTTAATTTTTCGTTTATTCCTTTTGTGCAGCTCTCTGTTGTCTTCTGGCATTTTCTGTTGGCCTGATATTTGTGCAACGCTCTGGAAATTACTTTGTTACGATGTTTGATGATTATACTGCTACGCTGCCTCTTTTAATTATAGTCATTTTTGAGGTTATTGCTGTATCCTTTATCTATGGCATAGATAAGTAAGTATATTTTCATCTGTATTTTGGAAACACCAGTTGTCTTTACGTATTTCATTTAGAAGAGGAGGGAAATGACTAGAAGGAAAAATGCCAAAATGAAGTCTTTTGAAGACTTCTTTATTCAACAATTTTAATAAAGCATATTCTCCTATTAAGTAATTAAATAGAATTGTGTAGATGGTAATATAGTCTAGGATTCTCAAGTTTGGATTTAATTCTGGTTATCAAACAGTAACTTCCAAGATCTAGTGAGTATGTTAGCTGTATTCCACAAATCTTGCTGTTTTGAGTTATTACTGTTATCTGCATTTCACAGATGAGAAAACTCAGGATTAGTGAGATACTAAGTGACTCGCTCATCGCACCTGCACAGAGGGAGACCTGGGATTCATAGTCATTTCTGCCTAACTCTAAAGCCTATGCTCCTAATTACTTTGCTAACCTGTTTCATGAAAGGAATTTTATTTTTATGCTACACAATGCTGTATTTTATTATGCTACATAGTGCCTTATGTAACAGGCCAGTTTTGGGAAACTACAGGTTGTCCTCCCAAAAATGTATACACACTTTAGCAGCTGATAGCTCAAGTTTGAAAATGAAATGTATTTTAATAAACACTGCCTTTATAATTATTCAAAGTGTGTGTATACATTTTTGGGGGACACCCTGTATATATATACGTATGTATCCTCTCTGAGATATATATGGCATTTGCTATACACAAACTTCATATTTATATGGAGTCATTACTTGAATTCACTAGATGCCTTAAACCTCTGAATTATTTACCTGCTTAATGCGAAAAGTATATATACTTGCTATGAGATGAAGTGTTAGGGTAACCTCAGAAGAAAAGTGTCCCTGGAGGCCTTGGCCAATATTTTTTAAAGTTGTTGTCTTTAGTGAACATGAATGGACTAAGACAATAAGATCATCAAGCTTATTAGAGGCCTCTGTAAAGTAGGAATGAGCGTGTTGAATGAAGACCAGAGCCCTCTTGAACAACATAGAGAGGAACATAACTGGCATTGAGTGAACTTTGTAACAAAGCTTAGAGAATGTTTTTTATTACTGTCAAAAGCTCCAGATAAGGAAAAGTAGGGGAACTTCATTTTATAATCTTGTACTAGATAGCAATAGTTAGCAATAGCTGTCTGACATGCATTAATTCTTAATCCTCATAAAAATACTCTGTGCTAACTAATAGCACCCACATTGCACATGGAAAATTGGCCTTACTTGTTGAGGAGGCCTTACTGTGTTAGTTGTAGAGTCAGGACGTTAACTTAGATCTTAATTTCAAAACCAGCTATCTCTACACGCTGTCAAGCTACCCGCAAGTTCTAGCCAGCATCGTGTTGAAATTTGATAATGTATTGCAAATGCTGTGTTCATAGAGTAGAAAGTCATCATTAGGAGGAGACATTTCAGTAATTGGCTTAAGAGTGCTTTAGCTAAATAAAAGTTACAGTATGTAATTAACTGGTTCCATTGTAATTTATATATGTTCTTAATTTATAAGTCATCTTCCAGTGTGACTTTTTGATTCCGTATAAAATGTCATGTGGTATCATGTCTAACCCCCGGTCAAATCATTGATCTAATGCACACTTATAAGGTGGTACGTAAACTTGAGGAATAATTACTGTCTTTTTATTTAGGTTTATGGAAGACCTAAAAGATATGATGGGCTTTGCTCCCAGCATATATTACTACTATATGTGGAAATATATTTCCCCTCTAGTGCTATTGTCACTGCTGATAGCTTGTGTTGTGAATATGGTACGGACCCCTCCTGGCTATAACGCATGGATTGGAGAAACGGTAAAACACAAAATAAAGGAAATTTTGTCTTTTGCTTCCTTTACAGTATATTTTGCTATTTAATGAATGGTGTTGCATTTATGCAAGGATCTTGAGATTTATGTTTTGTTTGTTCCCAAACATGTATGATTTTTTTTAATACATTGTAGATTTTTAAAATACATCAGAAATACTAACTTGGTTCTCACTAAAGGAGCTTTATTCATGCCACCATAGATGAGACAATGAAATTCAGCCTTTAACTAGAAAACATGTTGCTCAAACCACCAGAAATATTTTTCCTATGTAAATTTATTAAATCATATACCAGATACTATATAATATTGAAAATATACATTAACCATGTAGATATAATTTAAAGAACTATCAAAGTAGAGTTTTGTTAGAACTATTTTATATTAGCAATTCTGTTGTCAAGCGGCATTACCCAGATCATAATGCAACCACCAGGTGTGCACGAGACCCGAGAAAACTAGAGGGCTTATTTTTCAGAGGAACCTTTATTCTACGGTCAGTAATTCTATACAGTAACAAGCGAATTCATGACTGGGGCATAAAAAAGTCTGCTATCCCTTACCAAAAGCCTTGGGGCCAGAAGTGCTTCAGAGTTTAGATTTTAGGTTTTAGAAAGTTGATATGGCACGTGTAGTGGGTACCTGTCACTTAATAACAAGCTACCCCCCAATGTCACTGAAAGCAGTGCTGATTATTACTTCTTGGGTGCTATGGGTGAGGTGGGTGATTCTTCTCTTGCTCTTGCCTGAGCTAACTCATGCAGTTGATTGAACTTGGAGAGCCAGTGTCTCCCTATAATTTTTCATTCTTGGCTTCTTCCGACCAGTATGACCTCGGGCAGCATTCTATGAAACAAGCGGCAATTGCAGGGCCTTTTAGGTCTAACCTTGAAGTGGCTTATTGTCACTTCCACGTAATTCTATTGAACATAGCAAATCACCAGACCAGCTCAGATTCTTTGCTTACAAACCTGAGTCAAATATAATACTTTTCCCATACTTGCAGGGAAAAATACATTATTAATACATATTTTTGGTGTTAACACAGGCATCTGAGGAATTTCTGAGATTTCCAACGTGGGCAATGGCTGCCTGTGTCTCTCTGATGTGCCTAGGACTACTCCCCATCCCGGTTGTCTTCATCTTTCATCGCTGCAACTTTATAGAGGATAGTTCTGGTAATTTAGCCTCTGTGACCTATAAGAGAGGAAGGGTGCTAAAGGAGCCTGTAAACTTAGAGGGAGATGATGCAAGCCTCATTCATGGAAAGATACCAAGTGAGATGTCATCTCCGAATTTTGGTAAAAATATTTATCGGAAACAGAGTGGATCACCATCTTTGGATACTGCTCCAAACGGGCGATATGGAATAGGGTATTTGATGGCAGATATGCCAGATATGCCAGATATGCCAGAATCTGACTTGTAGCTGGGGAGTGGGAAATCGGTGGGTTTTATTTGGTTCATTTTTATCAATGAACATTGGCTCCACGAAGAGAAGTTTACGCTTCACTTATCAGAGGGTGATCTCAGGTGTTCCATGGCTGTGATCTTTAATCCTAACAGCGTGTGTAAATTCAGCTAGAGTATTCTTTTTTATTCTTCAGTTTACATTTGCACAGTAAGAGTTGTAGACAAAGCTTACAGTGACTGAGGTTCATGTTCATCAGAATTTTTAAAAAACACTTTTGGTGATTTTTCAAGTATTTCTATCTCTGAAAAAACACACACAGGTGTTACTTCAGTTTCTAATAATTTCTGGATGTAACAGTATTTGCAGTTCAATAATGGTATACTTTAAACTGCATAAGTTTGCCTTCAGGGTAACACTCCGTATTACAATGAACAGTTCTGTAAGTCGGCGCCTCAGCACATTTCCACGACTGTATTGTGTAGATAGGCTGTACTTATTTTGGTTGCGTTGGTACCTTGTTAGGCAAATAGTTGAAGAAAACTGCAAAATATTTTCTTATGTAGTAGCTGTATAGAGAAATAGTATCAAAGAATAAGAAAGCACTAATGTTGGGATGAAAGGTTATATTCAGAGGTGACTAAGGATTATGTGTATGACGGCTGTATATTCTGTGTAAAATATGTGTGAAAATGATCTAAGTATGAGTCACTTGGCACTCTCAAGAATTATGCAGATTCTGCATTTTTCTATGCCATGTGCCTAAAAAACCTACTTAATATTTATTGTGGATTCAAGATTACTCATAGTATATTTATATAATATACTTGCAGTGTATATAGATGTATATTAGTACTCTAAGTACTAATTTGAAAACTTGAAGCAAGATAGCATTTTATTTCATATCTTTCTGTTTTGCTTCTGTTTTATGCAAATATAAATCCTTTTTTAAGTGATTGTTAAAATTGTATGGCATTACATTTTAATCTACAAATAAAATTTTAAAATGACATTTGTTTTCCACATTGATTTTTCCTGTATCACCTGAGCTGGATTACTTGGCATTTGAGTCAGCACTTAGGCATTTCATCATAATTAACCATCACCTTCCAAGTGGGATTAATATATTGATTAACAGAGTTACCAGTACTTTAGAGACAACAGCAAAGTATTGTGGTTAAATGGTGTTTTAATGTAGTCCCACAATTCTTGAAAAAATACTTGTAGTCTCCCAGGAAACCAAATGTACAGTTGACAGCTTGCTGGTCAGTATTGTCTCCTAAATATAAAAAATTATGATGATTTTTATGAAACTGTTGTATATATGAGATTGGATGAAGCAGAACTCCACTGAGTACCATCTCATTAAAAGGCTTTTATTTACACCTGTCCTACCACTATATTAGTTACATTTTTAAAAATAATGCTGGGTAAAGCAGCAAAATAGGGGAGGCAGGACTACACCATGTCCATTGATTTATTTTTGCCAAATATTCTTGGTCTGCTATAGAAATATATTACAGACTGCATCACACTATTTAAAATAGTTTCACCGGTGATTAAAATTTTTAGTTTTTTTTTGTTTTACATATTCAATGTATTTTGTATCTCTTTAAAAATATTTTATAAATTTTTTAAATATTTTAAAAATATTTTATAGATAGGCAATATATGCACATTATACAAAACTCAAAAATTACAGTAATACAGTGTCAAGTAAATTTCCCTCCTAAAATTTCTCTTAGCCTTCTAGTTCCCATCTTTGAAGGCAACCACCATTACCGGTTTACTATTATCCTTCGGGAGTAGCTCTATATACACACATTACGTAATTGACAGATTCTGTATTCTTTCTTCTGAATCTTATTTATTTCAATGAATAATTTATTTTGGACAGTGTTTCATATGAAGGCACAGAGATCTGCTTCATTATTTCAGAAGTTGAAGTAATCTACATTTTATTTATTGTTGTGTTGAAGCAATATTTTTATAAGCTACCCCAATATTTAAAAGTTTGTAGCAAATACTTTATCTGTCAGCCTTTAGCTTATCATGATACATTGCCAAATGGCACCATTTCCCCCCTCCTTCTCTTTCCACAAGGGCTTTTAATTACAGTTTGGATACCTGCCTTCCGTAGGGAATAGGTCCCCACCTTTCTGTTCACAGAGCGTTATGAAGAATGCAGGAATCCGATTTTTGAGAAAGAAGAGAATCTAAACTGTTTCTAATGCCCTCACTTGGCAGATGAAACCAAGCCATAGAAGTTAAAGCTGAATAAACAAGGTCTCTCCTTTTGTTTTTTGTTTTTATTATTTTTTTTCATGAGTCAGTCCTTCAGCTATCCATTCATTTATTTATTTGCTGATCTTTCTTTTAGCATCTATTCACCAAGAATCTACCTTATTCTTAGTGGTAAGTCAACGCACCATTGTAAGTAGAGTATGAAGTGTTCGTCTTTTCCCTAGGTTCTCCCCTTCCTCAGGCATGTGGTATTTAATCAGTGAATGACAGTTTGAAGTGTTCTTCCCTGTACTCTAAAATTTGAGGCTGCTTGTTTTTGTATTACATTTCACTACTTCTGTAAACTCTAGTCTGAACTTGTCCTTAGATGTAACATAGCCAAGTATTGTGTGTCTTCAAATGGAAGGCAGGCTGGGGAGTGTGACAGGACAGCTGATCGTGTGTTTAGAATGGAGTAAAAGACACTGGAGGGGGAAAAAGTACCATGAAGGAGTCTAATATATTGGTTGCATTGACGTCTTAGGATGTAATTTTATGAAATATTTGCATTTCCATGTGTCTGCATTTATGTGCATTTTTTGGGGCCGAAATTACTTTTTTTGTCAAATCTTCAAATGTGTACGTGATTGCAGAAAGTTTAAGATCAAGATGCAGTGCTTATTAATTATAATTATGCTTTTGAGTTACCTGTGTCCTTTTAAAAGACATTTTCAATATACTGAATATGAATCCGTTTGGGATTGGATGCAGGACATGAATGTTTTAAAAAACCATATTGTAATGTTCATTTTTAGTTAGGTACCATATGTATGAAGAAGATAAAAGGAAGTATAAGTAAAGTATGAACCCCAATTGTCTTCAAAGAGAATGAAAATAAAGATGCGATAATTGTGATAACGGGTGAAAATAATTTGGTGGATAGAAGCTGAAATTTATAATAAAGCCTTTGAAAGTAAAATATCTTTCTCTTTTTGATTTTGTTCTGGTTACTGTGTTTCCTGAACACTACCAAAGAGTGAACTCATATTTATCTTGTTTGAATTATGAATGAAATCAATAGCAATTACATGGATTTTTTTCCATGAACTTTAGTTGTAAATTTTTTGAGTCATAATGTTTTGACAAAAAGGGAAAAACCATAAAACTCTAGAAGACTATTGGAAATATTAAAGATAACACTTCCCATAAGCTACCCATTACTGAGCATAGCATATTTTTACCTTCATAACTTAGAACTGAAGTAAAAACGTTCCATATGTTATTTTGCCTCAAATGACTGACTCCAAAATTGGCTGATTTGCTAGTTATTCTAATATGCATTCCCACATATCATGTGGAGGTAAAAAGAGAAAAGGGGCTGGGACATTATCTTGTCCTAAAATCAATGTCTTCTGGATTCTACTAACGTTTTAACACACCACAGTGATTCCTGGCACCACCATCAAAACACACAGATGTATGTCCTACCACACCACCACCGCCCAGAACAAAACACCTGATTTATACGAACAGCAAGAAATGTGCCATGTGGTGCCTGTGCAATATCATGTGTGTGACATGTAAAGAAAAGGAACCATGCCCTATAGATTAAGGGTGATCTCGCAGCTGCTGTTCTGTTTCCACTGATGGCCTTATCTGGGCATATTCAGTTGCATACTAAGGAAGATAAAGATTCTTTAGAAGAGACTGACATATTTCAGTAATACAATTTTCTCAGTAAAAAAGCCATTAAAAGGGCTGCAAAAAATATGTCCTTTCACTGTTCTTTAAAGGAATGCTTAGACCTACCATNNCAGCTGTAAAGAGGAAGGATCTTTTATCCTTTGGCACAGCATGGAGGGAACTAGAAAGTATTATGCTGGGTGAAATAAGCCAGTCAGAGAAAGACAAGTACCAAATAACCTCATTTATATGTGGAATCGAATAAAAGAACTGATGAACAAAGTGGGTCTAGAGACATAGAAGCATGGAACAGACTGAGGGATCTCAGAGGGAAGGCGGGGAGGGGTGTGTGGGTGGGGAGAGACTAATCAGGGAACTTACATGTTTATAAGCATAACCCATGGACACAGACATTGGTGTAGGGAAGACCTGGGGGTGGGATGGATGTGGGGTGGAGGGGATCAGTGGGGAAAATAAATAAATAAAGGAATGCTTATAAAACAAAGCAAAACAAAAAGCAGAACGTGATGTCCCAGTGTACACCAACCTGAAAAGACTGAGTAAACCTTAAAATTTGGAAGCATGGTAGCAATGGTGGCATTTATTTTATCTGCTCCTCACTAGCAGTTACCTACATTATTAACCAGGTCCACCAAATTAATAGATGCAGAAGCCTGGCCTATATTTATTCCTCTAGAGAACTCTCTCTTTTGTCAGTAATATGCTCTTTTCCCCTTTATTTTAAGGTTTGCTTTGTTTTGGGTAAATATTAAAAGGCTCAAAATGGGAGATTTGAAGTCAGATCAATAACTGGTAGAATTAAACAATGAAGATAGCCTTTCTGTGCAAAAGAGGATCTGGATGGTCCAATCTCTGAAAAAAAAAACCAAAAAAAAAAAAACAGTAGAAGTTTATTAGCTGTATGCTTCCTTAATAGACTTTGGGGTAGAATTGTTTTAATTAAGCCTTTTTGTAAATGGTCCTGTAAGAGATTTAATTATCTCAGTCCTTTTGTCTGAGTTGCTGTATAAAGTAATGCAGTGTCCACGTAGAATGCCAGCCCGCAAGCCATTTTTATAGGGGAGGGTCATGTAATAGAAATAGAATCCCAGTTGTTTTATAGCTATTCACAGAGAAAAGAGATTTTTCTTACAGACCCTGGGAAACGGAAGAAGGATGTGTCGCAAGAAGGAAAAAAGGACCTAAAGATAAGGCAGCCCCAAGACGGTGGGAAACCGAAGCAGGCGGTGCAGGAAGAGCAGGGCCTGCAGCAAAGGCAGCCTCAAAGCCCAGAGGAGCCGGGCGCTCCGGAGGCCCCCCTTCAGGGCGGATCAAGGACAGAACCTTCCTGAAGGAGGCGGCGATCCAGGCCAAGCTGTGCAAGGACCATGACAGAGAGCAGATCCTGGGAACTCGCTGGTTTTAGGTTTCCCCCACCCTCTAACCCTATGTAAGGACTGGCTTGAAATGAAACGTCAGAGCGGTCTTTCCAGGGAATTACACCTGCTGCTCTGTCCGATCGCCCGCCATCTGAATAATAAAAGGCGCCACAAAGACTCAACCTCTTCTTTAATTATTTGACTGGCCTCCAAGGGCAGCAGGAGCCTTTCGTGTCTGATTGCAATGTGAAATAAACCTCTATTCTCCATTGTTTTTTTTTAGCCAAGTGAGGTCACCAATAAACATTCTAGGACTTAAGATTCAGTAGAGTAAGTCTAATTATTTATATAATGTACACTTTATTATCATATGAAATTTATTGTCTATTTTATTTTCACTTTTCAAGTTGTTGTCATAACTGATATCCGTGCAGTACTGAGAGTATTTTTTCATTCAAAACTTTTTCACTTTGATTTTCCCTCACTTCTTCATAAAATATTTATATTCACACAAATCCCAATTTAAACAAGTACATTAAGCTACTTTCCTGTTGGAATTTATGGATGAATTACAGTAAGAAAAACAACATGCATTTTTGTCATCATTTTGTGGTTAATTTGCCTTTTTTTTCTTCTTTTAGGAACTATAGTAGTCCATATCCTAAACTTGAATTTTCTAAAGATTTTAATTTTTCAAATTCAATTTATTTAAATTACACTGTTAAAA